TGGGGTTCTTTGATATGCTGAATCTAAACATGTGTTTAGATTTTTGATTATGGGCCCAGTTTTCAAGTTTGTCCAAGTTGGGGTCCAAAATTAAACTTTGTTTGATTTTAACAAAAATTGAATATATGGGGTTCTTTGATATGCTGAATCTAACCATGTATTTTGATTTTGGACATTGGACCATAATAGATAAATTAAAAAAATTCAAGTTCACATTCTTTCTGTGTCAGAAACCTATGCTGTGTCAAATATTTAATAACAATCCAAATTCAGAGCTGTATCAAGCTTGAATGTTGTGTCCATACTTGCCCCAACTGTTCAGGGTTCGACCTCTGCGGTCGTATCAAGCTGCGCCCTAGCGAAGCATTTTATTGTTATTTTACAATCGAAATAATAGTGAGGACCACCAGGGGAAAAAAGATTTCTAGAACTGCTTTTTATGACCCTATTGATGTAAACACAAATTCCAATTATCATTTTTGTAAGAAAATTTGCTCTATATTGTATTATTAGCTTTTTTAAACTTTTAAGAATGTACAATGAAATATTTTTTTAAGAAATTATATTTAACCAAATTAATTGTAAAAAATAATCACACATGTTCATATCAGGAGAAAACAAAACAAACTGAAGTTTAATTTTATAATATAACAAACAATAACAGAATTAACAAATATACTTCAGAAAATTCTGTGTCATTGCACACATGGTTTGTTCAAATCCAACCATAAATGCCTTTAAAATAATTTTTATATGTGATGCTTTAATTGTATGATAATTTCTTTAAAAAAATGTTTCATTTATCATTCTTTAAGTTTAAACTTAATTACAATATAGATCAATATATAATGTCAAACAAGTTTTTTTAAGAATTGCCTGTCAGTGGTTTAAGAAAATTCTCTGTAGAGCCAAACTGTATGTAGATATAAGAAGATGTGGTATGAGTGCCAATGAGACAACTCTCCATCCAAGTCACAATTTGTAAAAGCATGTTTAATTTTTTGTTAAAAAAAAAAGTTTTTCCTGCCACGACCCTTTAATATTTTCTTGTGTTAGTGGAAACCAACATTCAATTTTCAATGGCCTTACACTGCTGTCCTTAATTAAGAGTTCCCTAATCAACTCCAGTAATATATTAAAATCAGGAGATGCTTTCCAAATTAGTGAGGGGATCTGGAGGTTACTTAGGGCAGTTCCATCATATGAGGGTTTAGAGATTACAGTACCGATATTTGCAGTAAAATATTAAACTCTGTGATAGTTAAATATCATTATACGACCGCAAAAATTAAAAAAATTTTGGTCGTATATTGGTATCACGTTGTCGTCGTCGTCAGCGTCGTCTTAAGACAGATGGTTTCCGGATAACTTTAGTATAAGTAAATGGAAATCAATAAAATTTTAACACGAGGTTTATAACCACAAAAGGAAGGTTGGGATTGATTTTGGGGGTTATGGTTCCAAAGGTTTAGGAATTGGGGGCCGAAAAAGGGGCCCAAATGAGCATTTTTGCAGTTTCCAGACAATAACTTGTGTTTAAGTGTATGAATCTCTCTGAAATTATACCATAAGTTTCCATACAACAAAGGGATGGTTATGGGGGGTTATGGCTCAAACCATTTAGCAATTAGGGGCCAAAAAAGGGGAAACAAGGGGTTTTATGGTTAAAGGACAATTTAGACAATTTAAAAGCAGTGTAAGGGAGGTAATCCAATCCATTTAAAGAATACTGTTGTATATATGTTTGATTACCTCCCTTACAATGCTTGTAAATTATGTATTAAGAAATGATGATTGTCTTGAGATGATTAGCTGTAAATTTATTTTTAGAAGTTACTATTAATTAACATTAATTTTAACCATTGGGGGGGGGGAATTTGTGGGGCTACAATTTTTCTCATTTCAGATTTCAGAAATTAAAAAGAAAATTTCAAATATTTTTTTGGGGGGGGGGGGGGGGGTTAATATTCAACAGCATAGTGTATTGCACAAAAGCAAAAAATTGAATATAAATTCAAATCATATAACCAATTTGAATTCTTTGACTACAGTTATTCTGTATCAGAAACCTATTATGTGTCAAAAATTTAATTACAATCCAAATTCAGACCTGCATCAAGCGTGAATATTGTGTCCATTTTGGCCCCAACTTTTCAAGGTTGGACATCTGCGGTCGTATCCAGCTGCGCTCAGCAAAGCAATTTATTTTATTATGGTATCAAACAGACCCCCAATATACTTGACATGTTTCCCATGATTACTAAAAAGAGAAAAATTGAGACCTGGTAATTTGAAGGTAGGGAGGAAAATGTAACATAAAAACTTTTTAGTTTTCTATTTGATATATCATATAGTTATACAAGAACAACAGTATTTCAATGTAGATACATATATGTATATATTTACAGTTATTTTAAAAGACGTTGTATCAAAATGTGTAGAGGGAGCTTCAGTCAGTAGTATTTGTGAATTTGGAGACACCAGACTAACTGAAGAAACGGGGAAAGTTTTCAGAAAAGATAAAGAGAAGAAAAAAGGTATAGTGTTTCTACATTTTATTTTAAAAATCATTGAACTACCCCCACCTATATATTGTTGATTGCTCCAAATTACCAACCACCAACAGATATATTTAGATTCATGAAAAGTCTGCTAATATTAGCTATATCATGCTATAGAATTATATGCATAGTGAAAAAAACAAGTATATGTACATTGAGCGTACTTGACAAATGACAACGCTATCCTCCTGTTCTGTGTATGTTAAGTATTGTAAACCTGTTATTGGCATTGATGAGTACTGTGCACCTGTTTTTATATGCCCGTTAACGGGAAGTATAATGGTATACCATTGTCCGTCCGTCTGTCGTCCAAATGTTGTACAATAACTCAAAAACGCTTTAACCAATTTGCATGAAACTTTGGTGAATCGTTTATATCTATTGACGTGAGCTCCCTTTCGTTTTTTATAAATTTTAGATTTTACGTTTCGGAGTTGGGTGTTATTCATTAAAAAAGGGGGATTTTCCATTTTTCAGACAATAACTCAAAAATGCTTTAAGCAGTTTTCATGAAACTTTGGTGAATTGTTTATATCTGTTGACGTGAGCTGCTTTTCAATTTTATAAATTTTTGATTTTACGTTTCAGAGTTATGGGGTTTAATTCATTAAAAAAAGGGGGGATTTTCCAGTTTTCAGACAATAACTCAAAAATGCTTTAAGCTGCTTTCATGAAACTTTGATGAATTATTTATATCTATTGAAATGAGCTGCCTTTCGATTTATATAAATTTTAGATTTTACGTTTCCGAGTTATGGGGTTTTTTTCATTAAAAAGGGGAGATTTTCCTGTTTTTGGATAATAACTCAAAAGGGCTTGAGCAGTTTTCATGAAACTGGTGACTGCTTTATTTCTATTGACGTGAGCTCCCTTTAGTTCTTTTATAAATTTCTGATATGACATTTAGGAGTTATGGAATGTTATTCTTTGAAAAAACGACGGGCGTATCATGCGCTCATGGCGCAGCTGTTTATTTGTATGGTTTTATACGACCGCAAAAAAATTTTTGTGGTCGTATATTGGTATGACGTTGGCGTCGTCGTCGTCGTCCGAAGACACATTAGTTTTCGCACTCTAACTTTAGTTTAAGTGAATGGATCTCAATGAAATTTTACCATAAGGTTCAATACCACAAAAGGAAGGTGGGGATTGATTTTGGGGTTATGGTACCAACAGTTAAGGAATAAGGGGCCAAAAATAAGCATTTTTGTAACTTCCAGACATAACTTGTGTGTAAGTGTATGGATCTCTCTGACATTGTACCACAAGGTTCCATATCACAAAGGGAATGCTGGGATTGATTTTGGGGGTAATTGCCTCCAAATTTTAGGAATTGGGGGCCAAAAAGGGGCAAAAAACAAGCATTTTTCTAGTTTCATGACAATAACTTGTGTGTAAGTCTATGGATCTCCGACAGTGTATCACAAGGTTCCATATCACAAAGGGAATGCTGGGATTGATTTTGGGGGTAATTGCCTCCAAATTTTAGGAATTAGGGGCCAAAAAGGGGCAAAAAACAAGCATTTTTCTAGTTTCATGACAATAACTTGTGTGTAAGTGTATGGATTTTTATGAAATTGTACTACAAGGTTCCATATCACAAAGGGAAAGCTGGAATTGAGTTTGGGGGTAATTGCCCAAAAGTTTAGGAAAAAGGGGCCAAAAATAAGCATTTTTCTAGTTTCCAGACAATAACTTGTGTTCAAGTGTATGGATCTCTCTGAAATTGTACTGCAAGGTACCATACTACAAAGGGAAGGCTGGGTTTGATTATGGGGGTAATTTCCTCAAAATTTTAGTAATTAGGGGCCATAAAAGGGCAAAAAAACAAGCATTTTTCTAGTTTCAGGACAATAACTTGTGTATAAGTGTACGGATCTTTATGAAATTGTACTGCAAGGTTCCATATCACATATCCATATGGGAAAGCTGGTTTTGAGTTTTGGGGTAATTGCCCTTAATGTTTAGGAATATGGGGTAAAAAAAAGGGCCACAAAATAAGCATTTTTCTAGTTTCCAGACAATAACTTGTGTTCAAGTGTATGGATCTCTCTGAAATTGTACTGCAAGGTACCATACCCCAAAGGGAAGGCTGGGATTAAGTTTGGGGGTGATGAATCATAAGGGGGTTCAAAAAATTTGGGGAGGGGGATTTTTTTTTCCTTAAAATTTTCCATTTTAAATTGGTTATTTCTGATTTATATATAAAAGCAAATGATAATAATGTGGTTTGAATAGGTAAATTAAAAATTTTTAAGTTCTTAGACCACTTTCATTCTGTGTCAGAAACCTATGCTGTGTCAAATATTTAATTACAATCCAAATTCAGTGCTGTATCAAGCTTGAATGTTGTGTCCATACTTGCCCCAACTGTTCAGGGTTCCACCTCTGCGGTCGTAACAAGCTGCACCCCAGTGGAGCATTTTATTAAAGTACTGTCCACCTATTCTTGGCATGTTAAGTATTGAATAGTAACTTACCATGTATGTGATGGTGGTACATAAAATGTGGACTGTCTTCGGTGCTGAAGTTCTACATACTTCAGATCCCTCCTCTATGTTCACAACAAAATAATGTAGATGTAAGAAGAAGCTCTTTTCAAATAACACTGATGGCAGGAATTGATATGTAAAAAAATTACATTTATACTGTAATTAAAAACATCACAAAAATTCAGAAATGCATGATTCCTTATGAATTGACATTTTATAATGTCTAAAAATACTTAATTTGTAGACATAACATTTAATTTTTTATTTTAGGTATAGCCTTCCCAACCTGTGTATCTGTCAACAATTGTATATGTCACTACTCACCCTTAAAAAGTGAAGCAGACATATTATTAAAGGAAGGGGATGTTGTAAAAGTGTAAGTTTTAATTGCTAAATTGGCATTATGGGTGATTATTCATGGCAAGTATTCAAACTGAGGCAATATAATATGTTAGGGACAGTGAATCACAACATTTGTAATATAGATGACAGAAGCTTCAAATCAGTATGTTCTGGTTCATCCACAAGTTATAAATATGAAATTATAAATCTGTTGATAGTCACATATAAAAATGGTAGGGATAAAAGAATGTTTCTGACAAGGGGCAAAACTAAAACTAGTCGTCAGGCCTTGTGGAGAGGTTATTAGAATCCATGTAGGAGTAGTAAAGCATTGTTCAAGTTGTCAGGAAGGCCAGTTGAAGTTTTTAAATATCTATATTCACAGAGTTAAAATTTTGAGGTTTTTAAGACGAGAACCTGTTTGTTAGGTTTTATTTCCACATATTTATGCCCAGGCCATAGCGGAGGGGGCATTAAGTTTTACCCTTGTCTGTCTACGTCCGTACTTCCCGAAGTTGACTTTCGTTTGCCTCAACCAAATGTTATATATAATGTCCCTTTATAACGTTATATGCAAGGGGGGGGGGGGGCATCATCTGTGTCCCATGGACACATTCCCCATTTATTTTTCTTGTCCCTTATTCTTATTCACCTTATTAAAAGATCAAATCTAAAGGAGGAAATATTTTCTTTATTTCATCTAAAATTTGATGCAAGTGAAAAAATTTCCCTTTAACAGTCATGACAGTATGAATAAATTGTAACTGTAATTTTCTGTGTATCTCCAAATTGCAGAGGCCAGTAGATTCCTTTATCTTCTAGTCCTATTACATATAGCTACTAAGCCAGTACAATTTATGGCTAGATTTTACCACTAATTTCAGATTTCGAAAGTGTACTAATCATGTATTTATCATTGTATGAGCTTGTTCACAATATCTCTTGTGCAGAAGTATGAACTTTTGTTATTTGATTTCAGGGATTTAGGTGCACAGATAGATGGATTTATTGCTGTAGCCGCTCACACAGTTGTTGTTGGAGCTTCTATAGTAGGTATTGATTGAGTGTCAGATTTATTGCTGTAGTGGCTTACACAGTTGTTGTTGGAGCTTCTATAGTAGATATTGATTGTCAGATTTATTGCTGTAGCCACTCACACAGTTGTTTTTGGAGCTTCTATAGTAGGTATTGATTGGCTGTCAGATATATTGCTGTAGCAGCTCACACAGTTGTTGTTGGAGTTTCTATAGATGGTATTGATTAAGTGTCAGACTTACTGCTGTAGCGGCTCACACAGTTGTTGTTGGAGCTACTATAGTAGGTATTGATTAAGCGTCATATTTATTGCTGTAGTCGCTCACACAGTTGTTGTTTGAGCTTCTATAGTAGGTATTGGTTGAGTGTCAGATTTATTGCTGTAGCGGCTCACACAGTCGTTGTTGGAGCTTCCATAGTAGGTTTTGATTGAGTGTCAGATTATGTAGCACAGGGTCAAGCAGAGACTTTAGAGGGACGTGCAAGATTATTTTAATTTATTTTCATGAACCCAGATTATTTTTGTCTCGCCTGCATAAAAGCTAGACAAAGGCATGTTGTTTCTGTCAGTGTCAGTTGCAACATTGATCATTTAAGCATTTGATTAGGTTCACAGATGAGACATATCTCTGTGTAGCCGTTAAAAATTGATGTATTATAAAATGTAAAGGTTACAGTTGCCATTACAGTATAGATATATTTAGTAATGGTGACTATCACTAATTTGCCGTTGTGGTTTTATTGGCATGAATATGCATTAAATATTTGCTACTGGACGTTGAGGGAAACAACAGTAAACATGATCAATCTATCAACTTAAGAGTGTTGTTTAAGTAAAAATTAGAACACCGATTTATCAGTGAGAACTAACCCACTTAGTTCATTCAAGCAGTCAAAATGGTCTGAATAACACCCTTTCATGTTGAATGTAAAATGAATAGTTTAATGAAATACATATTATGTATAATGTTTTATCACTTTCTGTGCAGTAAAAGCTTAAGGTAAGTAAAACAAATTGATGGGCATGTTATGCTTTTCTAACATTAGACTGTAATATATGACATGACGATCAACTTATATATTTTTAGGATAAAAAAGTGACGGGTAAAAAGGCTGATGCAATATTAGCAGCACATTTCGCTTCAGAGGTAGCACTCCGATTAGTAAAACCTGGTAATGAGGTAAGCTTTATATGAAGTAAATCTTGAAATACCTTTTACAGTCAATTTTCTTATGCATGCAGAGTCAGAGTAAGAGTTTGGTTGGCTTGCTTGCCTTGCTTGCTTTGTTTGTATTAATATTTGCTCAAGCATTGTAATTAAGATTGACATCTGAAAACAATATAAGTAGGCGGAGTTGAACCTGTATGTAGGTAAATTTGATTATTTGATAGTGTCCAATCAAATTTAAGTATAAAGTATACAAGTTTAACTCTGCCTTTATATATTGTTTTCAGATGTCAATCTTAATTACAATGCTTGAGCAAACATTAATACAAACAAAGCAAGCAAGCCAACCAAACCTTTACTTGCTAGCATTATGATAACAGCTGTAACAGTAGATTTTTTATGGTCACTGGTTTTAGAGATCGGACATTTCTGAAATACATGAAATAGAGTACTTTTAACACTGTCTTTATCCTGTTTTCCTCTCAAAATGATGTTTTTTTGTAAGATTTTGAGGAAACAAATAAGAAATACTGGTTATTGGACAAATATCCCTACAAATTAAAGTTTTGCATAGACTGTAAAATCTTAAGATACTGTTTTCTGCTTTCTGTTTATTTTTCATGTTCTACGGTTACCTATGGTATTTAAGATGCATTATGTTTTCCCATCTTTGCATCTCTACATTGGTTAGTTCTGCATTTCTCTATCTTATATCAGTTTAATATTTTGGATTCAGATAGTTTACCTGGAAGATGCTGTCAAATCAGCTCTAAAGTTAGTTCACATTTATAGTGATGTGAAATTTTAAAGATATATGGCAAATTAAGGTTTTTACCTAGAAAGATGGTGTCACATAGACTTGAAAGTTAAGTCTACAAATATCCTATGGACTCATTCTTGTTTATATGAATAAAAAGAGATATAGGTATGCATCAATATTTTGTGTTGAGAAAATTTTGGTCCTGTGCATTCATTAAATTGCCAACAAAATGTTCAAATGTAAAGTTGAATTCTTTACAAATGAAGAAAAATTCTCTTTACTGTGATATTTATACATTTGCAGAATTATCTTGTGACAGAAAGTATACAGAAAGTAGCAGAGGCATTCGAATGTAAACCAGTAGAGGGTAAGATTCCTTAAAAGCCCTTGACATTATATTTGTTTATGTTTATATATATATAATTACCTCAAAACAAAATCTTAAATTAATAATTGTCTTGAGAGGCCAATAAGATTTTGAAATGAACCATGTTAAGAGGCCTCTAAACAAGCAGTTAAATATATCAGAACTCACTTTTATCACAGACCAAGATCATTAATCAGTAGTTTAATATTCTAATATTCATTCCTTATAAAACTTGATGATATCTTTTCTAATAAATTTTTAACTGAAAAAACAATGAATTGCATATTCCATTCAGGAAATCTGGTTTGATGGTCTGAATGTTGAAATGTGGAGAGAAAATTTATACTAGAAAAACAAAATTTTCATCTTGATTATATATACTGGCATACTTATGATGACCTTATTCAAGGGACGTAATTATGAATCCTGATTGAACTTTGAATTCTGAACAGTATGCTTCTTCAATTTTGGATAAAAATATGCTGGACTATTTATACAACCATGAAACACGAGTGCATAAATTCAGGAAAAAAAACAGAAATGATACATTTGAAAATTGTGATTTGAAAATTTTAAGCCTGGTATCTATGATGAGTATATATTGAAATATAAAATATTTTATGTAAAGTTTTTTATAAAAATGTTTTTATAGAATGTCACTAATGTTCATGTAATCAAACCATGTAACCTTAAAAAGGATAAAATAAGAATAAGAATATTTATTATTCCAATCAAGGGTCCTTGATGGGCAGCATAACATGTACATAAAATAGATGTTTGACTTTTAGGCTGGAATAAACAACTTTATTGTATCACAGGATCAGTTTTAGACTGGTCAAGTAACTTTCAGTTATTTTAAAATTCCATGTTGAACAAAAGTTTAAATGGCTTGCTTTCAAACTTTGTTAGGATGTTTGCTTAAGCATTGTAATTAAGATTGACACCTGAATACAATGGATAGGCAGATTATACATAGATTTTATTGTACAATGAATATTATATTGTTTCCAGTCAGACATTTGATACACATCCTTTAAAGCTCTACCATCACTTGGGAGAATTGAAAGATGAAAAGAAGCATATGTTAAAGGTTATACAGGAAAAAGAAATAGTTAGTTTGATATGAACCACTTTGAAACCTTGGGTCATGGATTTGCCATAATTTACAATTTTTTCAAAGAGTACCATTTTGGTATATAAGAAAAATTAATATTCTTGAGATCTTATAACGAGAAAGTTATAAATGATAAAAACAATCTTTACGGTGTTGTTCTTTAAAAAATATAACTTGAACACAAAAAACCCACATTTTGATTGAAAGCAGTATAAATGTAGGCATACTTATGATGATTCTATTCAAGGGACGTAATTCTGATAACTGATTGTACTTTGAATTCTGATTGGTATGCTCTATCAATGCATGATGGAAAATACTCCAAACCCACCAACTGAAACCAAAGTAATTAATCTTGGAATATGTAAATTACCTTTTAAGAAATCATAATTATTACAGTTTAATTTAAGATATACTGTAAATTCAGAAGTTGATGCTATGATTTTATTAATATGACATATGACAGTTTAGATTGACAATTAAATTCCAAATATTTGACTCCTTGAGGCAAGACCTAGGCGTGCTGTTTCCTGTGTCAGTGGAAGCAACAAAATTAATGTATACATTATTAGTTGAGTTTAAGAGGAACCACTTGTGGTATTGAAGTATGTAATATTTGATATGCAGTTGTATAATCATATCTCATATTTGGCTCTGCTGTCATAGTCGTGGTCCATTGACTGAAAGTTTTGTGTAGTAAACATATTTCACAAAGTTTGTGATTAACTCAGTCTAATGGTAAGTCAGTGATATTTGGTATGCAGTTGCATTAGCTTTGGCAAATTATTTTCATCAAGCATAAATTTCAGTAAAGGTTTTATATGAATTGTAGTAATAGTTTTTTATACGGCCGCAAAAAATTTTTTGGGATCGTATGATGTCGTCTGTGTCGTCGTCCGAAGACATATTTGGTTTCCGGACAATAACTTTAGTTTAAGTGAATGGATCTCTATGAAATTTTTTAAGAAGGTTCAATTCCACAAAGGGAAGGTTGGGATTGATTTTGGGGGTGATGGTCCCAACCGTTTAGGAATTAGGGCCCAAAAGGGGCCCAAAACAAGCATCTTACTAGTTTCAGGATAATAACTTGTGTATAAGTATTTTGATTGCTCTGAAATTGTACCACAATGTTTAATACCACAAGAAGAAGGTTGGGATTCATTTTGGGGGTTGATGTGCCAATAGTTTAGGAATTAAGGGCCAAAAAGGGGCCAAAAACAAGCATTTTTGTAGTTTCCAGACAATAACTTGTGTGTGAGTATGGATCTCTCTGACATTGTACCACAAGGTTCCATAATACAAAAGAAAGTCTGGGATTGAGTTTGGGGGTAATTGCCCCAAACATGGAGGAATAAAGGGCCAAAAACAAGCATTTTTATACGCCCGTTTACGGGACGTATTATGGTATACCGTTGTCCGTCCGTCCGTCCGTCAACATGTCGGACATTAACTCAAAAACGCTTTAACCAATTTGCATGAAACTTTAGTGAATTGTTTATATCTATTGACGTGAGCTCCCTTTCGTTTTTTATAAAATTTTGATTTTACGTTTCCGAGTTATGAGGTTTTATTCATTAAAAAAAGGGGGGTTTTCCACTTTTCGGACAATAACTCATAAATGCTTTTACCAATTTGCAGGAAATTTTGGTGAATTGTTAATATCAATTGAATTGACATGAGCTCCCTTTTGATTTTAATAAATTTTAGATTGTACGTTTCCGAGTTATGGGGCTTTATTCATTATAAAAAGGGGGATTTTCCTGTTTTCGGACAATAACTCAGAAATGCTTTTACCAATTTACTAGAAACTTTGGTGAATTGTTTATATCTAATGACATGAGCTCTCTTTTGATTTTAATTTATTTTAGATTTTACGTTTCCGAGTAATGGGGTTTTATTCATTAAAAAAAGGGGTATTTTCCAGTTTTCGGACAATAACTCAAGAATGCTTTCAGCAGTTTTCATTAAACTTTGGTGCTTGGTTTATATCTATTAAGATAACCTCCCTTTAGTATTTCATAAATTTCTTACATTGAAAAAGTTATTGTTTGTTTATAGTCTGACAACAGATTTACCAAGTATTGCGCAACAGCACAGTGTATTGCACAACAGCAAGAAATCTTTAATTGAATATAAATACAATTCATATAACCAATTTCAAGTTCTTTGACTACATTTATTCAGAAACCTATAATATGTCAAATATTTTATTACAATCCAAATTCAGACCTATATCAAGCTTGAATATTGTGTCCTTTTTTGCCCCAACTGTTCAGGGTTGGACCTCTGGGGGCGTATCCAGCTGCGCTCAGCGAAGCAGTTTATTCTAGTTTCCAGTTGTGTTTAAGTGAATGGATCTCTCTGAAATTGTACTACAAGGTTCCATACTACAAAGGAAAGACTGGGATTGAGTTGGGGTAATTGCTCTGAGGAGGGATTCAAAAAGTTGGGGGGGGGGGGGATTTTTTTTTCCAATTTTTTTAAGGGGTTCATATTTTTTTCAAAATTTTTCAAATTTCAAATTTTTTAAAAGTTTCAAGAAGAAAGAAGAAACCTTCAATTGCACAGTATTGCGCAATAGATTTGTAAGATCTTTGACCACATTTATTTTGTGTCAGAAACCTATATTATGTCTAAAATGTGATCACAATCCAAATTCAGACAGTATCAAGCTTGAATATTGTGTCCAAATTTGCCTCAACTGTTCAGGGTTCGACCTATGCGGTCGTATCGGGCTGCGCTCAGTGAAGCATTTTATTTTTTCAGCAACTTAATTTTTATATCAGAATTTTTGAAAGCTTATTTGTAGTTTTTATACGACCGCAAAAATTAAAAATTTTTTGGTCGTATATTGGTATGACGTTGGCGTCGTCGTCGTCGTCGTCCGGCGTCGTCCGAAGACACATTGGTTTTCGCACTCTAACTTTAGTTTAAGTGAATGGATCTCCATGAAATTTCACCATAAGGTTCAATACCACAAAAGGAAGGTTGGGATTGATTTTGGGGGTTATGGTACCAACAGTTAAGGAATTAGGGGCCAAAAAGGGGCCAAAAATAAGCATTTTTGTAACTTTCAGACAATAACTTGTGTGTAAGTGTATGGATCTCTCTGACATTGTACCACAAGGTTCCATATCACAAAGGGAAGGCTGTAATTGATTTTGGGGGTAATTGCCTCAAAATTTTAGGAATTAGGGGCCAAAAAAGGGGCAAAAAACAAGCATTTTCCTAGTTTCATGACAATAACTTGTGTGTAAGTGTTTGGATATTTCTGAAATTGTACTACAAGGTTCCATATCACAAAGGGAAAGCTGGAATTGAGTTTGGGGGTAATTGCCCGAAACGTTTAGGAATTGGGGGCCAAAAAGGGGCCAAAAATAAGCATTTTTCTAGTTTCCAGACAATAACTTGTGTTCAAGTGTATGGATCTCTCTGAAATTGTACTGCAAGGTACCATACCACAAAGGGAAGGCTGGGATTGAGTTTGGGGGTGATGAATCATAAGGGGGTTCAAAAAATTTGGGGGGGGGATTTTTTTTTTTCTTTTTTTTTCTTTTTTTCCTTTTTTTTTTCTTTTAAAATTTTCCATTTTAAGTTGGGTTATTTCTGATTTATATTTAAAAGCAAATAATAATGATATGGTAGGAGATACACACCAAACAGGATGTGTAAATTATTATATAATAAGTATTGTGCAATAGCAAGAAATTTTCAATTGCACAGTATTGCACAATAGCAAGAAATCTTCAATTGCACAGTATTGCGCAATAGCAAGAAATCTTCAATTTAACAGTATTGCGCAATAGCAAGAAATATCCAATAGCACAATATTGCGCAATAGCAAGAAATTGTCAATTGTACAGTATTGCGCAATAGCAAGAAATATTCAATTGCACAGTATTGTGCAAAAGAAGATACTTCGTATAAATTGCTTATTTCTTGATCAATTTCAATGGGGTTTTATTCTTGAATTCTAGGGGTTCTTTGATATGCTGAATCTAACCGTGTATTAAGTTTTTGGATTTTGGGCCCCGTTTTTAAATTGGTCCACATTGAGGTCCAAAGGGTCCAAAATTAAACTTTGTTTGATTTCATCAAAAATTGAATTATTGGGGTTCTTTGATATGCCGAATCTAACCGTGTATTTAGATTTTTAATTTTGGGTCCCGTTTTTTAAATTTGTCTACATTAAGGTCCAAAGGGTCCAAAATTAAACTTAGTTTGATTTTAACAAAAATTGAATTCTTAGGGTTCTTTGATATGCTGAATCTAAACATGTGTTTAGATTTTTGATTATGGGCCCAGTTTTCAAGTTGGTCCAAGTTGGGGTCCAAAATTAAACTTTGTTTGATTTCAACAAAAATTGAATATATGGGGTTCTTTGATATGCTGAATCTAAACATGTATTTAGATTTTAGATTTTTGGCCCAGTTTTCAAGTTGGTCCAAATTGGGGCCCAAAATAAAACTTTGTTTGATTTCAACAAAAATTGAATATATGGGGTTCTTTGATATGCTGAATCTTACCATGTAATTAGATTTTTTATTTGTGGGCCCGCTATCAAATTGGTTCATATTGAGGTCAAAAGGGTCCAAAATTAAACTTTGTTTGATTTCATCAAAAATTGAATTATTGGGGTTCTTTGATATGCCAAATCTAACCGTGTATTCAGATTTTTAATTTTGGGTCCTGTTTTTTAAATTGGTCTACATTAAGGTCCAAAGGGTCCAAAATTAAACTTAGTTTGATTTTAACAAAAATTGAATTTTTGGGGTTCTTTGATATGCTGAATCTAAACATGTGTTTAGATTTTTGATTATGGGACCAGTTTTCAAGTTGGTCCAAGTTGGGGTCCAAAATTAAACTTTGTTTGATTTCAACAAAAATTGAATATATGGGGTTCTTTGATATGCTGAATCTAAACATGTATTTAGATTTTAGATTTTTGGCCCAGTTTTCAAGATGGTCCAAATTGGGGTCCAAAATTAAACTTTGTTTGATTTCAACAAAAATTGAATATATGGGGTTCTTTGATATGCTGAATCTTACCATGTATTTAGATTTTTTATTTGTGGGCCCGCTATCAAATTGGTTCATATTGAGGTCAAAAGGGTCCAAAATTAAACTTTGTTTGATTTCATCAAAAATTGAATTATTGGGGTTCTTTGATATGCCAAATCTAACTGTGTTTTTAGATTTTTAATTTAGGGTCCCATTTTTTAAATTTGTCTACATTAAGGTCCAAAGGGTCCAAAATTAAACTTAGTTTGATTTTAACAAAAATTGAATTCTTCGGGTACTTTGATATGGTGAATCTAAACATGTGTTTAGATTTTTGATTATGGGACCAGTTTTCAAGTTTGTCCAAGTTGGGGTCCAAAATTAAACTTTGTTTGATTTCAACAAAAATTGAATATATGGGGTTCTTTGATATGCTGAATCTAACCATGTATTTTGATTTTGGACATTGGACCATAATAGGTAAATTAAAAAAATTGAAGTTCTTAGACCACATTCTTTCTGTGTCAGAAACCTATGCTGTGTCAAATATTTAATCACAATCCAAATTCAGAGCTGTATCAAGCTTGAATGTTGTGTCCATACTTGCCCCAACTGTTCAGGGTTCGACCTCTGCGGTCGTATCAAGCTGCGCCCAGCGAAGCATTTTATGTAATCATACAAGTACAATTGGTGTCTCCATACCATTGAAAAGTGATATTGATAATTAATTATTTGCAATAGACCATTTATTCATTAATATATATGAAGTTTCTGTAAATCTGTATCACTTAATTATGTTTTTTGATATTCAAAATATAGCAGGCAAATTGATACCAATCATTTAAAAATTTTACTAGATACCCAATCTGAGATATGTACTTGGGATTAACACCAGCAAATGTAGTATTTTCCAAAATAAAATAATGAAAGAAATATGACTAAATCACAAATGGACACTATCTGACTATATATATCATTCTAATATAAAAGGTTTTAAAACTGCACAGTGAAGGCAAAACCAGGTATACTGATGATGCTTTTATTTCAAGGGACATAATTCTGATTCCTGATTGTAATTTGAAATCTGAATAGTATGCTATTGTATTTGAAATGAAGCAGAAAGTGTTCAAAAATCTAAATGCAGATTATTTCTAACATAAGTGATCATAGATATGTAACATTGTTTTTTATGTCCATATCATACCTTCTTCTCTGATCAGTGAAGTAACATTCTGAAAAATACAAGTTATTTTACTCTGAAACAACATTTCTTTTGTTTTTCATAATTGTTTTCTAGAATACTTTTCCATATATAGGTTGCATTTCTGTAAATATTGACAATGCAATTTCCCATAGGAACTCCTTTTACGGCTAAAACTGTACCACTTTTACTATGAAGTTTTGAAAAAAATCATATCCTAGAATGGAAAGTTCATATGCACTACAATTTTTTTCAAAGGTCAAAATATAGGGCTGTGCGGCATATTTTCAACGTTTATATGCCCCAAACTTCTAAGAGTTTAAACTAACACTAAATTTCTTAACTTTCCCTACCTTGACTGTAGGGTTACCACAGATTTCTATATGGACAATATGCATATGTATATTTACTGGTAACATTCCCAAGTTATGTCTCTATGAGATGAAACCTAGAGATCATAACTGGGAACCAGTATGTAAACAAAATTAATTATCTTTGAATATTTTATATCTCCCCAAAAGCGGCGTGGTTTGAGAAACAGCTGTATTTACAAAGTGCAACCTTTAGGTACTTATTCAACTGCATAACAAGACGAGTTTTTTGTCCTTTAAATATGAAAATCACAACATATCTAAAATTCCTTGACAGGCCATAATCTTGCCGGCGAAATGACGATTTAAGTCGCCAAAGAATTTTGAAAATCGCTAAATCTCGCCGGCCGATTGACTTCATAGCGAAGTCAAATCGCTATCAAAATCGGTAAAAGGGAGACAACTTGTGATTGACAAATCTCACAGGTAAAAAAATGGCGGCTGACATGGAAAATCGAGATTTTCAAAAACGACCCAGGACTAATACTGTAAACGATCAAATTAAATAAAAAAAAACGGGGACTTTGAACATCCTCGGATATAACTTTCAAAATTGTTCAAACGGAAAACTGACCGTCTGTTTTAAGTTATCGTTTTACGATGATTTTCATCTGAGGATGTTGCGTAATCACTCAGCTGATTTGTTTTATTTTTATTACCTACACGAGTCGATCAATTTTACTATTCGGTAGGTAAAGGGTGAGAATAAATGGTAGATTTATTATATTCATTGAATAAAAATTGAAATATAAAAGGTAGAAAGACAGCTGATGGATAATGTGATTGCAAACGTACGACACTCGACCAGATTGCGATCAGCAGTGGATTTTTTCTCATGACCACTTCGTTGATTTGGATGATATTTTAAAAAAATGATAGAAATTAGCTCTTTATCGGATAATTAATTTGCGATTGAAAGATATTTTCATTTATAGACTTACAATCTTTAATGATAATCTCAATTTACAACTAACATAAATGTCCTGGACATTCAATAATGTTTTACAAAATAATGACAAGTGGTGATATAAATTAAATTCCCAGTCATGTGAAATTCATCAGGTAAACTAGGAGTCATATTTTTCTGGAGTTTTAAAAATAAATTGAGGCAGATGCACATGAATTTAATGCATCATAATCTTGATAATATTACTAGGCTACTCCCCCATGTCCCAATCAACAAATTTTATTTAGAACACATTATGGTATCAATAAATAAATAACAACTATATATTGTCTAAACCTTTTTATTAAGAACTTTCTATATATACATTGTGTACAATAACATATGAAAAAACTGCAAGTATATCTTTTATTGAATATAAAACAATTTCCTTAGTGATACATGTAAGCATGAAAACACGATGCAACCGAAACGGTAATGGAATCTCACTTCTCCAAGAAGTTGACCACTTCTCCCTTCTCTCTCATTGAAGGAGAAGTCACTTCTCCCTCTTCAAAATCCTAGATTAGGCCCTGCTTGAGTCATTCTGTCAGATAAAAGTACATTTTGTAATATATATTTGAACCCATGTATGTATTAGACCTTCAAATTTCTTGCCATTCATGCAAAAATTGAAGGGGGAAAATGACAAATTTCACTAAAATTTACACCTTTCCGCTATTTTTTGGTACAAGTTTGATATGGCCTTTCTAAGAACACTAAAACTCACAGTTGAATTGAAAACAAATGAAAAATGTAGGCATACTTATGATGATTCTATTCAAGGGACGTAATTCTGATAACTGATTGTACTTTGAATTCTGAATGGTATGCTGTATCACTGCCTTATGAAAATACTCCCAAACCCTTCTTCTAAGACAAGTATTTATCTTGGAATTTAAATAAGATCTATTTCAAAATCAATATTTGTACAATTGGATTTGATATACTGTAAATACAGACATAAAAACATATAGTTAACATTGCTATTTAGATTCCTAACTTCTCTTCAAATTTATTTTAGTACAGTCGACTCCACTTAATTGCATACCGCTTAATAGCATAATTCGGTTAATTGCATAGTTTTCTCCTTCACAAAACCATTTCCCATTCATCTTATGTTAAATTGTTCGGTTATATGCATAGCTCTACAAGTGGCCTTTCGGTTTATTGCATAGAAAATTATCGCCATCTAGATATGCTTGGTTAACATCTGTCGAAATTTTTGACCGGAAACGGCAAGTTGGTGAGTATATTTTTCATGAATGCATCATTAATTTTCATAATTATTTCATATTTACTTTTGTATTATTCAAATAAAGTTTTAAAACAGTTGCTTTCGTGTTTATATGATTGAATTTGATTTAAAAATAAACCTCGATATCTACTCAGGTAAAGTTTCCCATGTTCTATTTTAAGCCTCGAGGTCATAAAAATGTCAAACAGGTAATTGTTGTAAAAACACTGACCATTCTATTTAAAAAGGTGTAAATAATTGATTGGATTTCAAACATTGTCCATAGATTACATTTGGGGTGAAATTCTAAAACAATAACGCCTGCTAATTATCGATCATTATCCAATGTGAACTCTCGTAATTGGGCTTGGGGTGATCTGCATTTATGTAAAATATTACAGGGCATTTATATATGGTTAAAGAATTTATACATCAATCATTTAATTTTAATATATTTTGAAAAGAGCATTTACTTCTAATTATTATATTTTCTCACTTTCAATACTCGTGTCCAGCAAATAACCTGTACAGGGCCCCATTACTGCTTTGCATATACGAAACTAACGAAGTTATATAAACAGTGTTACTTCACTCTGCAAGCTATATCGTATATCAAAGGCAGTTTAGTACACATCTATTGTTAAAATGATTATAAACTGTGTAATTTTGTTAAACAGTTTATTTTAATCAAAGCGTAACAATGTACATTGTACATACGGGTCATAGAAACAAATCTATTTTTAGAACGAATTTATTTTCGTATCCCAGGTAAACTGGTAAAGGAAACGTCGGTACGCAAATAAACTAAAACAAAATGTGTTTATAATCTTTATTGAAATAATACAATATAAAAATAACATGTATGACACTAGACATATAACTTTTATTAGAATAAATCAACATTCAATATTGTAATTGGATTATAGACGTTCATCTTTCTTCAGGGATTTCCTTTACTGATCTGTTCTATCGATGTTATTTGACTCCGTAATTTGGCATTTCGGATATAAGCATACTCCGCTTTATTGCATAATTTTGTCTGACAAATAGGCTATGCAAATAACCGGAATGCACTGTATAAGCTTTTATATATATAAATGGTAATAATAGAATTTTTGTTTCAGTTTTTATACGACCGCAAAAAAAATTTTTGTGGTCGTATATTGGTATGACGTTGGCGTCGTCGTCCTCGTCCGAAGACACATTAGTTTTCGAACTCTAACTTTAGTTTAAGTGAATGGATCTCAATGAAATTTTACCATAAGGTTTAATACCACAAAAGGAAGGTTGGGATTGATTTTGGGGGTTATGGTACCAACAGTTAAGGAAAAAGGGGCCAAAAACAAGCATTTTTATACGACCGCAAAAATTGAAAATTTTTTGGTCGTATATTGGTATGACGTTGGCGTCGTCTGGCGTCGTCCGAAGACACATTGGTTTTCGCACTCTAACTTTAGTTTAAGTGAATGGATCTCCATGAAATTTTACCGTAAGGTTCAATACCACGAAAGGAAGGTTGGGATTGATTTTGGGGGTTATGGTACCAACAGTTAAGGAATTAGGGGCCAAAAAGGGGCCAAAAATAAGCATTTTTGTAACTTCCAGACAATAACTTGTGTGTAAGTGTATGGATCTCTCTGACATTGTACCACAAGGTTCCATATCACAAAGGGAAGGCTGTAATTGATTTTGGGGGTAATTGCCTCAAAATTATAGGAATTAGGGGCCAAAAAAGGGGCAAAAAACAAGCATTTTTCTAGTTTCATGACAATAACTTGTGTGTAAGTGTTTGGATATTTCTGAAATTGTACTACAAGGTTCCATATCACAAAGGGAAAGCTGGAATTGAGTTTGGGGGTAATTGCCAGAAACGTTTAGGAATTGGGGGCCAAAAAGGGGCCAAAAATAAGCATTTTTCTAGTTTCCAGACAATAACTTGTGTTCAAGTGTATGGATCTCTCTGAAATTGTACTGCAAGGTACCATACCACAAAGGGAAGGCTGGGATTGAGTTTGGGGGTGATGAATCATAAGGGGGTTCAAAAAATTTGGGGGGGGGGGATTTTTTTTTTTTCTTTTTTTTTCTTTTTTTCCTTTTTTTTTTCTTTTAAAATTTTCCATTTTAAGTTGGTTATTTCTGATTAATATTTAAAAGCAAATAATAAGGATATGGTAGGAGATACACACCAAACAGGATGTGTAAATTATTATATAATAAGTATTGTGCAATAGCAAGAAATTTTCAATTGCACAGTATTGCACAATAGCAAGAAATCTTCAATTGCACAGTATTGCGCAATAGCAAGAAATCTTCAATTGCACAGTATTGCGCAATAGCAAGAAATATCCAATAGCACAATATTGCGCAATAGCAAGAAATTGTCAATTGTACAGTATTGCACAATAGCAAGAAATATTCAATTGCACAGTATTGTGCAAAAGAAGATACTTCGTATAAATTGCTTATTTCTTGATCAATTTCAATGGGGTTTTATTCTTGAATTCTTGGGGTTCTTTAATATGCTGAATCTAACCAAGTATTAAGTTTTTGGATTTTGGGCCCCGTTTTTAAATTGGTCCACATTGAGGTCCAAAGGGTCCAAATTTTAACTTTGTTTTATTTCATCAAAAATTGAATTATTGGGGTTCTTTGATATGCCGAATCTAACCGTGTATTTAGATTTTTTATTTTTGGTTCCGTTTTCAAATTGGTCTACATTAAGGTCAAAAGGGTCCAAAATTAAACTTAGTTTGATTTTTAACAAAAATTGAATTTTTAGGGTTCTTTGATATGTTGAATCTTAACATGTGTTTAGATTTTTGATTATGGGCCCAGTTTTCAAGTTGGTCCAAATCAGGGTCCAAAATTAAACTTTGTTTGATTTCAACAAAAATTGAATATATGGGGTTCTTTGATATGCTGAATCTAACCATGTATTTAGATTTTTGATTTTTGGGCCCTGTTATCAACTTTGTCCAATTGAGGTCAAAAGGGTCCAAAATTAAACTTTGTTTGATTTCATCAAAAATTGAATTCTTGGGGTTCTTTGATATGCTGAATCTAACCATGTATTTAGATTTTTTATTTGTGGACCCGCTATCAAATTGGTTCATATTGAGGTCAAAAGGGTCCAAAATTAAACTTTGTTTGATTTCATCAAAAATTGAATTATTGGGGTTCTTTGATATGCCAAATCTAACCGTGTATTTAGATTTTTAATTTTGGGTCCCGTTTTTAAATTGGTCTACATTAAGGTCCAAAGGGTCCAAAATTAAACTTTTGTTTGATTTCAACAAAAATTGAATATATGGGGTTCTTTGATATGCTGAATCTAAACATGTATTTAGATTTTAGATTTTTGGCCCAGTTTTCAAGTTGGTCCAAATTGGGGTCCAAAATTAAACTTTGTTTGATTTCAACAAAAATTGAATATATGGGGTTCTTTGATATGCTGAATCTAACCATGTATTTAGATTTTTGATTTTTGGGCCCTGTTATCAACTTTGTCCAATTGAGGTCAAAAGGGTCCAAAATTAAACTTTGTTTGATTTCATCAAAAATTGAATTCTTGGGGTTCTTTGATATGCTGAATCTAACCATGTATTTAGATTTTTTATTTGTGGACCCGCTATCAAATTGGTTCATATTGAGGTCAAAAGGGTCCAAAATTAAACTTTGTTTGATTTCATCAAAAATTGAATTATTGGGGTTCTTTGATATGCCAAATCTAACCGTGTATTTAGATTTTTAATTTTGGGTCCCGTTTTTAAATTGGTCTACATTAAGGTCCAAAGGGTCCAAAATTAAACTTTTGTTTGATTTCAACAAAAATTGAATATATGGGGTTCTTTGATATGCTGAATCTGACCATGTATTTAGATTTTTTATTTGTGGGCCCGCTATCAAATTGGTTCATATTGAGGTCAAAAGGGTCCAAAATTAAACTTTGTTTGATTTCATCAAAAATTTAATTATTGGGGTTCTTTGATATGCCAAATCTAACCGTGTATTTAGATTTTTAATTTTGGGTCCTGTTTTTTAAATTGGTCCACATTAAGGTCCAAAGGGTCCAAAATTAAACTTAGTTTGATTTTAACAAAAATTGAATTTTTGGGGTTCTTTGATATGCTGAATCTAAACATGTGTTTAGATTTTTGATTATGGGACCAGTTTTCAAGTTGGTCCAAGTTGGGGTCCAAAATTAAAACTTTGTTTGATTTCAACAAAAATTGAATATATGGGGTTCTTTGATATGCTGAATCTAAACATGTATTTAGATTTTAGATTTTTGGCCCAGTTTTCAAGTTGGTCCAAATTGGGGTCCAAAATTAAACTTTGTTTGATTTCAACAAAAATTGAATATATGGGGTTCTTTGATATGCTGAATCTTACCATGTATTTAGATTTTTTATTTTGTGGGCCCGCTATCAAATTGGTTCATATTGAGGTCAAAAGGGTCCAAAATTAAACTTTGTTTGATTTCATCAAAAATTGAATTATTGGGGTTCTTTGATATACCAAATCTAACCGTGTTTTTAGATTTTTAATTTTGGGTCCCGTTTTTTAAATTGGTCTACATTAAGGTCCAAAGGGTCCAAAATTAAACTTAGTTTGATTTTAACAAAAATTGAATTCTTGGGGTACTTTGATATGCTGAATCTAAACATGTGTTTAGATTTTTGATTATGGGACCAGTTTTCAAGTTTGTCCAAGTTGGGGTCCAAAATTAAACTTTGTTTGATTTCAACAAAAATTGAATATATGGGGTTCTTTGATATGCTGAATCTAGTCATGTATTTTGATTTTGGACATTGGACCATAATAGGTAAATTAAAAAAATTGAAGTTCTTAGACCACATTCTCTCTGTGTCAGAAACCTATGCTGTGTCAAATATTTAATCACAATCCAAATTCAGAGCTGTATCAAGCTTGAATGTTGTGTCCATACTTGCCCCAACTGTTCAGGGTTCGACCTCTGCGGTCGTATCAAGCTGCGCCCAGCGAAGCATTTTATTGTAACTTCCAGACATAACTTGTGTGTAAGTTTATGGATCTCTCTGACATTGTACCACAAGGTTCCATATCACAAAGGGAATGCTGGGATTGATTTTGGGGGTAATTGCATCCAAATTTTAGGAATTAGGGTCGAAAAAGGGGTAAAAAACAAGCATTTTTCTAGTTTCATGACAATAACTTGTGTGTAAGTGTATGGATCTCTCTGATAATGTATCACAAGGTTCCATATCACAAAGGGAATGCTGGGATTGATTTTGGGGGTAATTGCCTCCAAATTTTAGGAATTGGGGGCCAAAAAGGGGCAAAAAACAAGCATTTTTCTAGTTTCATGACAATAACTTGTGTGTAAGTGTATGGATCTATATGAAATTGTACTACAAGGTTCCATATCACAAAGGGAAAGCTGGAATTGAGTTTGGGGGTAGTTGCCCAAAAATGTTTAGGAATAAGGGGCCAAAAATAAGCATTTTTCTAGTTTCCAGACAATAACTTGTGTTCAAGTGTATGGATCTCTCTGAAATTGTACTGCAAGGTACCATACCACAAAGGGAAGGCTGGGATTGAGTTTTTTTCTTTTAAAATTTTCCATTTTAAGTTGGTTATTTCTGATTTATATTTAAAAGCAAATAATAATGATATGGTAGGAGATACACACCAAACAGGATGTGTAAATTATTATATACATTTGTAATAAGTATTGTGCAATAGCAAGAAATTTTCAATTGCACAGTATTGCACAATAGCAAGAAATCTTCAATTGCACAGTATTGCGCAATAGCAAGAAATCTTCAATTGCACAGTATTGCGCAATAGCAAGAAATATCCAATAGCGCAATATTGCGCAATAGCAAGAAATTGTCAATTGTACAGTATTGCACAATAGCAAGTAATATTTAATTGCACAGTATTGTGCAAAAGAAGATACTTCGTATAAATTGCTTATTTCCTGACCAATTTCAATGGGGTTTTATTCTTGAATTCTTGGGGTTTTTTAATATGCTCAATCATACCGTGTATTAAGTTTGGATTTTGGGCCCCGTTTTTAAATTGGTCCACATTGAGGTCCAAAGGGGTTCTTTAATATGCCGAATCTAACCGTGTATTTAGATTCTTAATTTTTGGTTCCGTTTTCAAATTGGTCTACATTAAGATCCAAAGGGTCCAAAATTAAACTTAGTTTGATTTTAACAAAAATTGAATTCTTAGGGTTCTTTGATATGCTCAATCTAAAGATGTATTTAGATTTTTGAATATGGGCCCAGTTTTCAAGTTGGTCCAAATCGGGGTCCAAAATTAAACTTTGTTTGATTTCAACAAAAATTGAATATATGGGGTTCTTTGATATGCTGAATCTAACCATGTATTTAGAATTTTGATTTTTGGGCCCTGTTATCAACTTTGTCCACATTGAGGTCAAAAGGGTCCAAAATTAAACTTTGTTTGATTTCATCAAAAATTGAATTCTTGGGGTTCTTTGATATGCTGAATCTAACCATGTATTTAGATTTTGGATATTGGACCATAATAGGTGAATGTCCAATTTTAAATTTTTAAGTTCTTAGACCACATTCATTCTGTGTCAGAAACCTATGCTGTGTCAATATTTAATCACAATCCAAATGCAAAGCTGTATCAAGCTTGAATGTTGTGTCCATACTTGCCCCAACTGTTCAGGGTTCGACCTCTGCGGTCATATCAAGCTGCGCCCTGCGGAGCATTTTATTATAATTTGGATATACGTTTTAGTATGTTATAAATCAAATATGAGAATTTGAGTCAAATTGGTGATCATGAATTTGGCAGCTGATGCCCCTTTAAATCCTGTTAAAAAGAATTTCTTTGAGGAGCAGATTGTCCTTTGATCTTGTTGATTCAGTTCATAATGATAAATAGTTATTTGCAATAAATGGTTAACATGAATGAAATTTCTGTTTACTCCTCTACATCATTTTGTTCTTAAATATTCAACAAAAAGTAAGCAAATTAATACCTGTCATTTGATATTGTACTGGACTCTTGCTCCAAGATATCTACATGATATTTATAGACCAAATGTAGTATTATTTAAAGCATGGTAATGGAAGAAATGTGATTAAATCACAAAAGGACAAAATCTGATTATGCATTCAGGGATTTTATTAATGGTTTTAAATCTGCAAAAATTATATATAGTGAAAGAAAACACCAGGTATACAGATGATGATTTTATTTCAAGGGACGTAATTCTGATTCCTGGTTGTAATTTGAAATCTGAATGGTATACAAATTGTATTTGAAATAAAGTAAAAATTGTCCATAATCTATATGGAAAATAATTATAACAAACTTCACAGTTCTCTAATAATTCAAACCCTTGTGTGTAATGTTTTAAGACCTTCAAATTTCTGGCATTCATATAAAAGATCAGAAGGTAAATTGTGCAAATCTGGCTCAATTTGAGATCTTTCCAGTAATATTTAAGTATGAGTAAAACACTTTCTAAGAACTCTGGAACTTGCAGTTAAAATCATGAAAATGAAAGCAGTACAAATGTAGGCATACTTATGATGATTCTATTCAAGGGACGTAATTCTGATAACTGATTGTACTTTGAATTCTGAAATGGTATGCTGTATCACTGCCTTATGGAAAATTGTCCCCACCTATAATCCAAAACAAGTATTTTTCATGGAATTTGAATGTGATCTATTTCAGAATCATTCCCAATTTTTATACGACCGCAAAAATTGAAAATTTTTTGGTCGTATATTGGTATGACGTTGGCGTAGTCGTCGTCGTCCGAAGACACATTGGTTTTCGCACTCTAACTTTAGTTTAAGTGAATGGATCTCCATGAAATTTTACCATAAGGTTCAATACTACGAAAGGAAGGTTGGGATTGATTTTGGGGGTTATGGTACCAACAGTTAAGGAATTAGGGGCCAAAAATAAGCATTTTTGTAACTTCCAGACAATAACTTGTGTGTAAGTGTATGGATCTCTCTGACATTGTACCACAAGGTTCCATATCACAAAGGGAAGGCTGTAATTGATTTTGGGGGTAATTGCCTCAAAATTTTAGGAATTAGGGGCCAAAAAAGGGGCAAAAAACAAGCATTTTTCTAGTTTCATGACAATAACTTGTGTGTAAGTGTATGGATCTTTATGAAATTGTACTACAAGGTTCCATATCACAAAGGGAAAGCTGGAATTGAGTTTGTGGGTAATTGCCCGAAACGTTTAGGAATAGGGGGCCAAAAAGGGGCCAAAAATAAGCATTTTTCTAGTTTCCAGACAATAACTTGTGTTCAAGTGTATGGATCTCTCTGAAATTGTACTGCAAGGTACCATACCACAAAGGGAAGGCTGGGATTGAGTTTGGGGGTGATGAATCATAAGGGGGTTCAAAAAATTTGGGGGGGGGGGATTTTTTTTTTTTCTTTTTTTTTCTTTTTTTCCTTTTTTTTTTTCTTTTAAAATTTTCCATTTTAAGTTGGTTATTTCTGATTAATATTTAAAAGCAAATAATAATGATATGGTAGGAGATACACACCAAACAGGATGTGTAAATTATTATATAATAAGTATTGTGCAATAGCAAGAAATTTTCAATTGCACAGTATTGCACAATTGCAAGAAATCTTCAATTGCACAGTATTGCGCAATAGCAAGAAATCTTCAATTGCACAGTATTGCGCAATAGCAAGAAATATCCAATAGCACAATATTGCGCAATAGCAAGAAATTGTCAATTGTACAGTATTGCACAATAGCAAGAAATATTCAATTGCACAGTATTGTGCAAAAGAAGATACTTCGTATAAATTGCTTATTTCTTGACCAATTTCAATGGGGTTTTATTCTTGAATTCTTGGGGTTCTTTAATATGCTGAATCTAACCAAGTATTAAGTTTTTGGATTTTGGGCCCCGTTTTTAAATTGGTCCACATTGAGGTCCAAAGGGTCCAAAATTTAACTTTGTTTGATTTCATCAAAAATTGAATTATTGGGGTTCTTTGATATGCCGAATCTAACCGTGTATTTAGATTCTTAATTTTTGGTTCCGTTTTCAAATTGGTCTACATTAAGGTCAAAAGGGTCCAAAATTAAACTTAGTTTGATTTTAACAAAAATTGAATTTTTAGGGTTCTTTGATATGCTGAATCTAAACATGTATTTAGATTTTTGATTATGGGCCCAGTTTTCAAGTTGGTCCAAATCAGGGTCCAAAATTAAACTTTGTTTGATTTCAACAAAAATTGAATATATGGGGTTCTTTGATATGCTGAATCTAACCATGTATTTAGATTTTTGATTTTTGGGCCCCATTATCAACTTTGTCCACATTGAGGTCAAAAGGGTCCAAAATTAAACTTTGTTTGATTTCATCAAAAATTGAATTCTTGGGGTTCTTTGATATGCTGAATCTAACCATGTATTTAGATTTTTTATTTGTGGACCCGCTATCAAATTGGTTCATATTGAGGTCAAAAGGGTCCAAAATTAAACTTTGTTTGATTTCATTAAAAATTTAATTATTGGGGTTCTTTGATATGCCAAATCTAACCGTGTATTTAGATTTTTAATTTTGGGTCCCGTTTTTAAATTGGTCTACATTAAGGTCCAAAGGGTCCAAAATTAAACTTAGTTTGATTTTAACAAAAATTGAATTTTTGGGGTTGTTTGATATGCTGAATCTAAACATGTGTTTAGATTTTTGATTATGGGACCAGTTTTCAAGTTGGTCCAAGTTGGGGTCCAAAATTAAACTTTGTTTGATTTCAACAAAAATTGAATATATGGGGTTCTTTGATATGCTGAATCTAAACA